GCTATATGAATTTGAAATAATGAATATACATGTTACCTTCACCTGGTGATCAGGAAGGCGCTGTTTCGATGAATTCATATGAAATAGGCATACATTTGTACGCAATTGTGTGAAATACATTATAAATCAAAAGGAACTGTACGTAGTTTGTAAATCCTTTATAAATGAATCTTTTCGGTTTGACTATAGTACAACGTTTCAAAATCTTTGATTGTGTTTTACTTTTTAAAGGAAAACCAATCTAAGTATCTCCTTTAAGTTGTCTGTGAATGTGTTCGAATTAGTGAAAAAAAAGCACGGAAATTTTTAAGAAAAATTGTCGATGCTGTCGTTCGCGTGGAAAAAAAGGAAAAATGAGAGGAAGTATATGCTTTAATCGCAGTTGAAGGTACATTATTTTGCGATTTTAACCATCCGGTTTCAAATTTAATTTATGAGAGGAAATTACTAGCATTCTCATGCTGCCAAGTTCATTCAAATCCTATTATGTTTTTAGGGAAATTATGAAATGTTAACAAAATGTCAATTGAAAGATCGACTTCAAAATTTCATTCAAGTATATTGATTTGTTTTCAGTTCTGACATCGTTGATAAACAAGTTATACCATATTAGTAACATTCCAATACTAATAATTCATTTTTGCAAAATGCCAGTTCATTTGTAGTTTTTACAGGTATGCAGATGCGCATCAATTACAGCTTAAAATGCCGTCAAATTTTTATTTTTAGAGAGAGGGGGGGGTTAGAGGAGGGGGTCGAGGAGAGGAGTAGACAAGGGGGAAAGAGAGAGAGAAAGAGAGAAAAATAAAATACATGGAGAGACTGGAAATGCTGTGACTCAGATGTTTCAATTTTCAAGTGAAAATTCATCGATTTATCCCAGTTAATCCCAGCCACAATACGGAGAACAGTTGAACTACATTTTGCATTACGGAACCTATGTTTTTGACTCATTTTAGGAACAACATATGTGCCATTCTCTATGCAGATAGGTGTTTTTACGGACGAACCAGAAATACTTGAGTTCCTTCTCCATTGCAAAATGCGATCCAGTTTTAGTTTGTCTTTTTTTCTGCCCTGGCGTTAAAGTCTCCGAACAAATGTATTCTCAAACTGAATCGGTTGATGTTAACACACATCATGTTCGTGTTCTGGTAAACCCTGATATGAAATAATTCTTCTAGTCACTAGAAATCACCAGATAATAAACTTTTTATGTCAAAGCATCGACCAATTCAACGATTACACTGTATCAACGCTTATTTTAAATCTGACTTACTTTTCACTTTTCGTTTACATTTTTTTCTGATTGTGTCGTTTGCATTGAGTCACGATTTGAGAATCTTCTAATATCAAAAGCTTGTTTATGCTGCCCGAGATGTTATGTGAGTAACTGACGAACACCCTCCCCCCTCCCCCCAATAACAACAGACCATTCCGGCTAAGACTTTACAGCCGCAAGTGCAGTGAAGTTTCCCTTTGAACTCCATGTAAAAGCAAATTATTTTCATTTTTTAGAATTTAATTTTTCTTGTGACTTTATTTTCATTTGGAGTCATTTCCAACTGTGTTGTGTGTATTATAAGTCACAATATGCTCAAAATCGGATACTTAAAACGGTTCTTCCATCATGTCAGATGATCGTGTTTCGCCGTTAAGATACTAACGCAGCAGAGAAAAATGTGCATTGAGGTGGGAACTCATTTTGCCCAGTACAGCAAAAAAAAGGTGTTCGAAACCAACAATTTCGAGTTTCAGCTTTCGATGCCAATACTTTCACTGACATAGGGTTCAAAATTTCAAGCCATAATGTGCATTATTCATGATTTCATATAATGATGTCACCTAGGAGATCAAGCAAAGGCGAATCCAGCAATTTGGCAACAATGAATTTCTTCAATTTAACCTATGCTAAATAATCGATTCTTGTCGGAGCATCTGGCCCTTCCAAGGATTGAGCCATTTCCATAGGTTTAAATGGAAAAAAACAATGTTGCCAATTCGCTGGATCCACCGATGAGATCGAGATTAGTAAAAATTGCATGAAAATAGCAGTGTGGTAATGAATGAAAATACGATTTTCAATCTTTCTATCTAACCAAGGAAATTTGATCAATCAAAGGCGATGTATTTTTTCCATACTATGTTCATTTTTTCGGGTACCGGTGACTGCACCTGCACTTTTGGCCCGAGGCTCACCTTTCTCCCCAAAAAACCCACGGATAGCAGAAACAACGGATGTGCAGACTTTCTACAAAAGTAGATTAACCACCTGCCTCAATAATTGCACCACATCCAGTGGAAGGTTCCATGGTGGTTGATGAACATTAAGATAATTGATCCGAACGAGATATATAACGGCATTAATTTGGGCACCGGCTTCACAATATTTCGCCCCGCATTCTAGTTCCCATTCAGCTGTTAAAATCGATAGATTTTGTGCTGGTGTTTACTGACGTTTTTCGAAGGTAAATCTTTTTCGTTTTTTCATTCTTTATTTTATTTACTTTTTGCTCCTTTTATCGTCCCATCTTCACTTTTACTGTCTTTTAAAACACCTTTACCTCCCAGCTCTATTTCCTGGAGCTTTTTAAAATTAAATTAAATTAAATTATTCAAGAATGAAAGAATTCTCTCTAAAAAAAAACTCTAGCAAATTTTGTGACGTAGTTTGAAAAACGAACATCAATGAACATCAACCATTGGCTCGAACCGACAAAAAACCATCACGTACTTACAGCATCCTAAAATTATCACTCCTTCTTTATATATTTATGAAATTAATAAGAACATCATCAATTTACATTTTCAAGAAACATTCTCTCCACCCTCAGCTAAAAATATCTTGACAATTTGCAAGAAACTGTAGGTACGTTTATCAGTCGCTCTCTTGGAGAATACGGAGTAATAGAAGATTTGCAACATCTCAAAGTAAATTTCAATCTTGTATTTTCGGTTTAAGGAACATTATTCAACTTGTGCCATTTTTCCTCCTAAACTTTGAAATGGCAATGACTGTGTCAGATTTTGAATTCAGCCCTGAAGCGGAAAAACGTCGAATAAAAATTCGAATGTTGACAATTTCTCTCGATAATATTTGGAGAATATTTATTATAAATAGTTTTCCATGATTTTTCACCTTAGATTCAATTAATACGAATAACATCACCTGAAAAGTTGAAAGAAAAACCTCTATTAGCTTCCCTAAAAGTTCGTATTTCATCAAAGAGAATTTGGCAACGTCCAAATGTAAGACGGCGTTTGTTCACAGTTTGTCCGTGTCCTACGGTCAGATATATATATATTCTGCATGTTTCTGTTCTCTCTCGGTTTTTTTTTTTTTTTTTTTTNTTTTTTTTTTTTTTTTTTTTTTTTTTTTTTTTTTTTTTTTTTTTTTTTTTTTTTTTTTTTATAATAAAAATGAATTGTCGTTTACTAACATAAATAATAAAATTAGGTTGGCTAATATAATATTTTTCTACTTTTATGATCTCTAGGCTTTTCGAGATTCAGAAAGAGAAGAAGGATGAAAAATTCTCATCATTTTATTATTAAAACGAGGTGCAACCTAACTTGCTTTGCCTTAACAAATGGAACAATACTCATTTTGCGACGTTGCAAATCTCTGTCATAGTTTAGTTTTTTAGTAAAGGCCTTATCAGCGTTTTTGCATAAAATTTCGTTTCATTTACTTTACTCTTTGAATACTATTTCCTGAAAATTTCATGCAGAAATATCGAGCAGTATCCTCTTGATTCTCAGGATTTCGTTGCAAATCTCTTGCCACTCTCTAGTGTCAAAGAAGTCAACTCTAGAGAAACGAACTATGAGAGGGATCGGGCGTGATATTTTTGACTTAAACCGCATATTTTTTAAGTTCAAATCGTCAAATTTTCAGTTTCAAGGGCGGAACACGAAAGAAAATTTTACGAAAAAACCTATGGAACAGGTGTGTTTTTATTGCCAAAAATGTCAGCTTTTAAAGTTTCTACATCATGTCCAACCTCACCGAATGATTCGCTCCACCGTGCGCCTAAGAGCACGCTCTTGCAGTCCTGTCGTTTAAACCGGATCATTGTTGTCAGATATTGCTAAAAATCAGCATTTTCCCCTATTTGAACCCATGTAAAATACCCACATTTTTTCGCTTACCGAGCAACCTTAACGAAGGGTCTCTGCCTCAAAACGCAGTCGTGATTGTGAGACTTTGTTGCAATCCTACGTTAATTTATGGGTGACCACTCAAAAGTAAATTTTTTTTATTGTATGTTTTTCCCCTGTATTATACTTTGAATTTTTTCCTCGATTTTCTGACGGATTTGATTTTTTTCTCCTATTTTTGAATTTTCACTCAATTTTCTATATTTCGACGGCGCAAGTCGGCAATCACATAACTCGCTTTGCAACGTCGCAGACTTCCTGTCATACTTTATTTTTTAAACAGAAAGCTACTCAACGGCAATTCTTTAAAACTGCCGTGATTTTTCCTCTCTGTGCGAAGAAAATTCTGCATTAACTTCAAGGGATGATGTCAATTTGTTCTCCTTCAAAAAAGCTAACATAGAGGCGGAGATTTTCAGACACCGCAAACGAGATATGTGATTGCGGACTTACACCGTCAATTTGCACAATCTTGCATGGCAGGCGCCCTCGTTGCATATAACTGCCGTGCTAAGGAAGAACGCCGTATGAACATTCGGGAGTTGCCAAATTTCTTTCGATAAAAAGTTCATTTTCGAGGAAAGTTATGGATATTTTTCCTTGAAATTTTCAGGGATTTCAGCTGAAATTGCGAACAAAATTCTCTGAAAAAACGGAAGAAAAATATTCATAAGTTTACCAGGAAATCCGTGTTTTATCAAAGGAAATTTGGCAACGCCTGACGGTTCATACGGCGTTTTTCCTTAGCACGGCAGAAAAAGCCTCAATTGTGTCGTCAATGAGGAAGCGAGCCCAATCAAGCGCGCACCCAAACAACTAATCCCTGTCCCTGATTGCAGATGAAGCACGGAGCCCTGTTGATCGTCATGTTCGGGCTGAGCGGCGTGCACTGCCTGCCCCGGATAGACAGCCCGGAGGTCAAAGGTCGTCAAGTGGCCGCGGTCACCAACGCCGTGACCTCGACCGTGGACACGGTGGCCGCCGCCCTCCCGGCCGTCGCCGCCAACGTCGCCGCCAACGTCAACGTCAACACGACCCGATCGGTGTCCCCCTTCGAGGACGCGGAGGGGGTCAAGGGGGCCGCCGACCACCTCCCGTATATCCCCATCGTCCAGCTCAACCTCCTCTCCGCCATCGGGCACATCGTCTCCCCGCTCATCAAGGGGGTCCTCGAGCCCCTCCTCATGAACATCGCTCTCGCCTGCGTCGGAGCCATCGTCAAGACCATCGCACATCCTGGTGAGTCACCCCGTCCGAGTGATATAAACGCAAAACCATTGAAAATGGGCCAGTTGTACTGGTCACAGAATTGTGTTTTGATGCCTTATTCTTGTACCTAGATCAGTTAAAAATAAGAAGATTTGTCCAAACAGGAACTTCCTACGTTGAGTATTAACCAAGATATCGCGCCTTGGAAAACACGATTTATGACGTCATCCACCGCGGTAACACATACCATGTAATGTACTACCGCGGTGGGTGACGTCAAAAACCCGACTTTTTCTAAGGACGATATCTCGGTTGATATTCAACGTAGAAAGTTGCTGTTGGGCATCTTATTTTTAGCTGGTCTACACGAATCTAGCATCAAAACATGATTCTTTGACCAGCACAACTGACCCATTGCCGAAAAGAGAATTAATTGCACGCACAAAAAAACTTCGTGCGTGGGATTCGAAGTTCGCATTGTATGGATCTCTGAAGTTTCCATACGAATACAAAAACTTAGCGAGATCCATACAATATGAGCTTCTGGTCCCACACAAAGTTTTTCCCTCCGTGTGGGGGCCTCTCTTGATAAAATGAAAGCGGCCATGTTCTAAAGAGGCCCTGAGCAGCTCTGCGAGATTTTATAACTCTGGGGCCCCAAAAATCTGTAAATAAGGGCCCCTGCAAGACCTTTCAGCCTTCTGGCCAAAGTTTAGGGATCAGCGACCCCCTACCTCGCGGAGCAGTCCACCCGTTCTACTACTCATAGTCACTGGCTTAGCCAGAAATTTGTCATCGGGGAAAAGGGGTCCAACGATCAAATACACCTGGTCCAAAAATAATAATTCCTAAGATTTACGAAAAGTGACGGTTTCTTTTGGAAAAAATTTCGCTCACGGGAGAGTGGCCAGAGGCTTAGACTCCCTCCCCTATGCCCTTGTCTGTAATGGACCTTTAGAAACGTAAAAAATCAGGTGAATCTACACCGAAAGTAATCAAACATCAAGATTTCGAGCAATTTTTGCTGATTTCGAAAAATTTAAACATTCAGCATTTCAGCATCGGCTCAGTATCTCGATGTTAGCTCACTCTCGCCTTAGATTCATCTTACAGTCTCGACACACAACTGCGTTGCAGTGCTCCCATTCCATGATCGTCAAAAGTTCCGGGATTCTTTTTAGATTTCTTCAAAAGTTCCGATAAATGCAAAATATCCGGAACCTTTTGGGAATGTCGAAAGCTCCGGGAAAAATTCAGGAAATTCTCATAAGTTCCAAAATTCGGAACTTGTTCCGGGATTTCGGGAAACGGAGCACTGCTGCGTTGTTGAATTTTTACGGATGCCGCTCAAGGTACACTCAAACACAGTGTTTATTGCGGCAGCGAGTATCGATGAAAATATCTACATAAGATATTCAACATGGGCCCCTCCTCTTGTTCCCCTTGTTCCCATTGGATGTATTTCTGCCAAACGGAACTATGTGCATTATCACGTGAGCCCTGTTATGCATAGTTTCCTATGGGTCTCAGGGCTCATGTCTTAACCCTCGTCTTCCCGACCATTTTTTTCTACGCTAATGCCCGACCAGGGCCTCGGAGGCCCTCTGAGGCCGTCGGCCTCGTGCCTCTGGGAGGCACTTATTTTTTGTCGCTTNTCAACTCTTAACATCATGGTTTTACTGATTAGGTTGTGGTTATAATTTTAATTTTGATTTTTGATTTTGAATGCAGTACTCTCAACTCTTCAGTATTCCATCCATCACTCCAACCCTCTCTCTTTTCCATCAAAACAATGAGAAAAAGAAAAAAAAATGGCAAAACTTCCAAAAATAATTTTATAAAAAATCGCATAATTCACAGAAAATACCATGTGAGTTATTCATTTTTACAAAACTAAAGTAAAAAATTTGCTAATATCAAATAGCCTGCTTGGTTTGTTCATTATGTTTTGCATTTTTTTCAATTTTTTTTTTGTTTTTTTTAGTTTTTATCATATTTTGGAAACATTTTCTCTGCGTGGGACACTTTCTAACAACTGAGGCTTCTTTTTTTTTCTCTTTTTTCTTTATTTTATTTAGGTTTGAGAGACAAATAGGACAATGTAAAAGAATAAAATATTTTTTTTGAATCATATTTTTATTCAGTCTTATTTCATCAGTCATAAAGTAGAAAATAAGAAAATATGTAAGGAAAGAAAAATTCTAAACTGATTGGAAACATTTGAAAATTCAGTCACAAAAAAATACAATATCTGAGGAATACCTCTACATTTTTGAAAGAGGGAGATAAGTGCCTACAGTTAAAATTTTACTGCCTGTTAGAACCTTTGAAATCATGAAATACCTAACATAATAGCTATTTACAAAAACCAAGAACACATTACGTTAGATAAATTTTCAAAAAAAGAAACACAAACTTAGCGCAAAAACAAACGTAAAGTAACTAAAGTACTGGTAACGAATGCGAAGAAACTAGCACAAGGTAACTAACTTAACATGACTAAGGCAGGAAAAGTATTGACTAAGTAAAAATAAAATCAGTCTACTCATTAGATTGGCAGGTTTCACAAATAATACTACTATGCTCTCCACACACAGTTGACTTGCACTTGTAACAGCACACTTTAGATTTTCTGTGTTTTCCATAAGGACACAGTGAGCACCTTTTTCTTTTTTTTGGTTGGGGCTCTTCGTCATCTGAAAGTTGATCAGGCAAGCGACGCTTAATACCACTTAACTCCAAAGCCAGCCTCGTCTCTTTTCTCAGTAAGGTACTTTCATTACGTGTAATCCAACCAGGGCCTGGGAGGCCCTGGTTGGGAAGTCACGGGGTAGAGGTGAAAAAAAAATTACTGTGCCTAGAATTTTTTTTTTTTTTTATAATTTCACTAAAATATTGTTTTTGAAGGTTTTTGTAGAGATGTCACAAAAGCACAAAATTATAGATAGCTTTGAGAAGAAATGCCACAAAAAACAAACAAGCCCAGGGCCTCTCAGGCCCTGGTCGGGAAGACGAGGGTATGTATGTACATAGTTCCGTTTGGCAGAAGTACGTCTCATTGTGATGCTCAGTCACCCGTCGTGTAAATACGTTTGATTGCTGGAGTTACTACACCACTGTTTCCTGTTTTCCTGCCTGGGGACCCGAGCGTGGCAAGGGTCATTCACATATTCCCCTCCGCCTAGCCGCTCTCTCGTAGTTTAAAAATGTTTGCTTCACCTACAACTAGGCCAATACTATTCGTTCAGGAGACGGTAAAAATTATGTTACATTTTAGTCGTTAGTGATTACTGTGCCTCAGTGCTCCCATTCCATGACCGTCAAAAGTTCCGGGATTCTTTTTAGATTTTTTCAAAAGGTCTGAGAAAGTTCCGGAAAATGCGAAAGATCCGGAATTTTCTGGCAGTTTCAAAAGTTCCGGAAAAACTCAGGAAAATCTCGAAAGTTTCGAAATTCGGTACTTGTTCCGGGAAATGGGGCACTGCTGTACCCGTGCTTTCACATTATGAGAGTATGGATGAGCCCGGAAGAAAAGTGAGTCCAGGGTAAATGATCATCAGGTGGATTCAGGTAGTTTTTGTCACCTGCTGCAATATTGCCATGATAAGGAAGAACGCCATATGAGCCAATAGGTGTTGCCAAATTCCACTAGACAAATCACGAATTTTCGAGAAAATGTATGAATATATTTTTAGCCGATTTTTCAGAGGATTCAGTTAGTGATTTGATCTAAAAATCCTGAAATTTTCAAGGAAAAATACTAATAATATTCTTCAAAAATAAAATATTTTCTGAGCAGAAATTTGGCAATGTTTAAATGCTCCTATGGCGTTTTTACCTAGCGCAACAGAAGTTATGCCTAAAGGATCCAATGAGAGCTTTACTGCTCTGACGGGTAACCAGAGCCAGACTGTGCCAAAATGTTGGGCGTTTGCGCGCTCAATCAAAGAGACCGCCATTTTTAGTAAAAAGTACGATACTTAAAACCGTTATCAAAAGCCACTAATAACGCAGGTATTCATAATTTAAATGCCTTAAGATGAGTTTAATCGTGAATTTTCGCGTATTTTTCATACTACATCAATGAGTATTCTTGGTACTTTTACTCCGACCGAATTGCCCTTTCTCGGTCGTAAATTTTTCGCATGGGTCGTAAATATCTGGCATTTTTACTTGATGGGAAATGAAAATAATGAGCCCTCAAAAATTTCCGCCAAGAAGCTGTTTTATTTCGAGACGAAAACTTGTCTCCCACAACCATGCAGACTGCATTCTACCCATCGCCCAATAGAAATATGCCAGTTTTCTTTTTTCTTTTTTTCGCGTTGAGTATGGTTAGACAATTAAGCGTAATTATATTTAAAAATTTGACGAAAAAATGAGAGATGGTGGGCGAAAGATATAGTGATCGAAATCAACTGACAAACGACAAGTCGAGACGAGACGAGGCGTGTTCTGTTGCATTTAGCTCAGAGCGTTGACCTTTTTCATCGTGGCGGCGAGAGGTGTGATGGAAGTATGAGTAAAATCTTAGCGAGTTTTTAATCCGGCCTCGTAAAATGGGAAGAAAAATTAAATGCGCAATCTAAAGTACAATTAAAAGGATTAAAAACGTGGCGAGAGAAGTAGCTACTTCGCTCTCGCGTGTAGGCCAAGTAACAACGCGAGTGTCTTCAATTTTATGTTTCAAAATTTCCGTTCATTTCATATTTACCACCGCAAAAAGCAGTTGAAAAATAGGAAGAACATACATACTATTTTGCCATTAAATATTGAAGGTTCAGTGCATGAAGGGTGGAAGATATTTTTATTGACTCCATACAAAAAGGTGTTAAAATCGGATCATTATGTTCCTAAGTAGCACAGTGCTACGCAAATTTTGAAATCCTTTTGCAATTTAATGAAATAAATTACAATATTTTTACACCATCTGATCAATGAATGCCGATTTCAAACGATCAAAAAAATGAGCACTGTGTGTGAGGAAGGTAGGCAACTTGGACTTGCAATGCAAAAAAACTGGAACTTAATTCAATTTTATTGCAATAAATTTAAATAAGAGGAACCCCTGCAAGTGGTGAATAGACAACTTGCACAACATTCTGATTCAATAGCAATAATTTTATCATATAATTGCACTTCATTGTAACCTGTGTTACTTGGGTGTTAGGTATGTAAACAATTGAAGGAGGGGGGGCAGCACTTCAGAAATGGGGGAAGGTTGTCTCACGGCTGCCTCAAGAAGTCAAAAGGAAGGGGGAGGGGGGGTCAAAAAGTTGAAGAATGTTTTGCTTACGTCATAAATAAGCGAACTTTATCTCGAGGTTTGGCATTACTCGCATTACTCGGTTCGGTGCCCGAACCTCCGAGCTGCCACTCTATTTGAGTTCGGAACTTTCGATCCGGTGACTAACGAATCGCAACGTTGGTGCGTGATTTTGGCACCGCCTCGCGAGGTGGTTTTAAAAAAGGTTCGACCTATCGAAAACCAACGGATCTGATTGGTCGAGTCTGGTAAAAACGATGTCCACTGGTGTTGGCGATTGATGAGACAAACCGGGAGAGAACTTCCCAAAGAGGTTCGGAACTTTAAATAAAACTCGCTTCTTGAACGGTTCCCTACCTAAATGATTTTGACTATTTCGGCGTCCGGATCATAATTTTAACCATTTGATTTGATCTGTTTGCAGAGGTGGACCTGAGCAAGCCGCACTACGATGAGCACGACGGACCGTCAAAATTCCCGAGCTACAGATCCGAGGCCGAGACGACCGCTGGGGCCGTGGTGAGCTCCCTGTTCAGCGGGTTCGACGCCTACGTCATGCGAGTGCCCGGGGCCGGCAAGTACCTCTTCATCTCCTCCGACAGGAACCTCAAGCCGGGAGCGTCGGCGTCGAGCGAGGCCGGGAGTGACAAGAACTTGGCCCCGACCGAGGGCTACGAGGAGATCCCCTTCAGCGCCAACCCCATCCTCAACTCCATCTTCGGCAACATCCGTGTCCGATCCGGGCCCATCCCCGACAAGAAAGTCGAGAACTACGTCAGGCAGCAGCTCGGCGTCGCCGCGGCACCCGCCAACGCTGCCTAACCTCGCCACCCCCATACATAGACCTTGGGCTTTTGGAAACGATGGTTTAGAACCCCTGACATACGTCGGATGAGGATGCATTAGAAATTGGAGGACGAAGAGGAGGGAGAAGGAGGAGATGGAGAAGAAAGAAGAAGAGGATAACGGGATGTGTTTCTGCCAAACGGAACAATGTGCATTAAGCCATGAGCCCTGAGACCATGACCCATGAGAATATATGCATAACAGGGCTCACGCCATAATGCACATAGTTCCGTCTGGCAGAAATACGTCCAATGATGAAAAAGAAGTAGTAGCGGAAATAGGAAGATGGTGAGAAGGACGGGGATTGCGAGAAGGAAAGGAGAGGAAAGAGGGTAGTAAGAAAAGGAAGGGAAGAATAAAGAGGAAGAATGAGAGCGGAAGGAGGACGAAGAAGACAAAGAGGGAGGGAAAAAGGTAGAAGAAAGAGAAAAAAGGAGACGACGATGACGACGAAGAAGAAGGAGAGGAAGAGGATAGAGAGAAAGTAGAAATAGAAAAAGGAATTTTTCTTATTCCTCTGATTCGTCTTCTTCATTCTTTCCTTCTTTTCCTACTTCTACTATTTGTCTTTTTTTCTTCCTTTCCTCTTTTTTCCTCTTTTTCTTCCTCATTTTCATCTCCTCCATTTTCTTTTTCTCCCGAATTCTAATGAATCCCCATTGTTGACGTACGGCAAGCTCAGGAGTCCTACGCTCTGAGTCAATCATCGTAAAGATAACTCACTAATTTATTTTAATTTATGTTTAATTTATTTAGTTTTAGCACCCGGTAAAGACGCGGCTTACAAGTAAGGACACCTAGTAGCTTAATACAAAGTCAGAAGACCTTTGAAAGTTTCAATAATTATTTTAGTTATTTGTAGCTTCTCATGAGTGTACCAAAATTTATACTTCTCTATAAATATCTTTTTTTAGTAAACGACCGTAAAGTCATCTCTTGAATTCTTGATGGATCCACATTTTAAAAATAAGCCAAAAGCTCTTCTTCAAGTTTAAATTTTGAATTAAATGAAAATATAAATACAGAGACTCGAACGTTTTTACTACGTGAAGCAGGCCACGTTAAACATCTTGAATAAGGAAAGCAAGGTGAAAAAGTTGGCATTGTATTAACATTCATAAATTAGTGTAGAATTCATATTCAGCCGCTCTCTGTGTCTCATTTTTGCGCGTCAATAATTTTGTGATACCTACAAAATAAAGTTTTGTTTTAAAGTCTGTCAGTTTTACTATATTTTTTCCTCCAACCAAATGAATACAGAAAAACCATATGATGAAAGTAAGCACTAAAACATCATTGAATGAAGTGTGGCAACAGGGCACTTGCCTACTTAGAAAAGGTGAGATCATTATTTCGATTTTTCAAAAATTTAAAAACAAATAGAAAAGCACTTTCGTGTTTTATATTGCTTACTTTTTCTGGTTAAGTTTTTTGTCTTAAAAATTGTTATTGCGTCTTAGTTATATGAGTTAAATAATTGCACTCTGCTTTCTTCGAGGGGATGCACTCTACTAAGTAGGTATTTTGGATTTCTATTTTAATTTTTTTTAAACTTTCAAGAAAGCAATTACTACTAATCTGAAAGCATATCTATAATCTTGAACACCACCACAACAGCAGTGTCTTACCAAGGCACGATAAATCGAGGGTGAAACTGCAATTTCGGTGCGAAGTATCAAAATCTCTTCTTCGATTTAATTTCTTAACAGAAGATTTCGTACCATCATAGTAACATTACAATACTAATATTTCATTATTGCAGAATGCGAGTTCATTTGTAATTTTTACATGCGCATACAGATAAGCATCACCAACAACCTGAAATTCCAGAAACTTTTTCCTTATAGAGAAAAAGGGGAAGGAAGGGGGAAAAAATAAAATATTAGCAGAGACTGGGATATGCTGTGACTCGGATCTTTCAACTTTCAAGTGAAAATTCATCGATTTATTCCCGTTAATCCCAGCCACATCAGTACGCGGAGAACAGTTTGACTATACATTTTGCATTACGGAACCCATGTTTTTGACTCATTTTAGAAACAGCATATGTGCCATTCTCTATGCAGATAGGTGCTTTTACGGACGAGCCAGAAATACTTGAGTTCCCTCTTCAATGCGGTCCAGTTTTAGTTTGTCTTCTTTTTCTGCCCTGGCGTTAAAGTCTCCGAACAAATGTATTCCTAAACCGAATCGGTTGATGTTTAAACAAACCAGGTTCGTGTTCTGGTAAACCCTGATATGAAATTAATCTTTTAGTCATTAGAAATCATCAGACAATAAACTTTTAATGTAGAAGCGTTGACCAATTCAACGACTAGGTACGCAGAGCAACGCTTATTTTAAATCTGAGTTATTTTTCACTTTTCATTCACATTTTTCCTGATTGTGTCGTTTGAATTGAGTCACGATTTGAGAATCTTCCAATATCAAAAGCTTGTTTATACTGCCCGAGATGTTATGTGAGTAATTGACGAAAAATTCTCTCTCCCCCCCCCCCCCCCCCCCTCCCCCCAAAAAACAACAACAAACCATTCCGACCAATAAGACTTTGCATCCGTTAGTGCGATGAAGTTTCCTTTTGAACTAAAGTTTTTCCGGGATTTTTTTTCATTTTTCAGAATTCAATTTTTCTCGCGACTTAATTTTCATTATTTGAAGTCATTCCCAATTGTGTCGTGTGTACCTATTAAGTCACAATCCTCTTCATCAGTGGCGTGGCGTGCTTTGCGATTGTTATGGCATTTAAACCTATGGAGAAGAATGATAAACGCAGGGTGTTCGCAGCGAACACTTTAATAATCAATTCTTTACCATAGTTTTAAATGGCATAACAATCGATATATCGCAAAGCACGCCACGCCACTGCTCTTAATATCAGATATTCAAATACATTCGGATACGACCAGACATTATGGTTCCCTATCGCACAATGTAGTCCAAATCGTAGTCTCTCATTGCAAAATCTGATTGGCAATCTTTATTTCCGTTTTTCTAGAGACTAAATACGCATTTTATCCGATTGTATGGGATGTTCGTCGGATAAAAAGCCGTAAGTAACGGTTTACTGACCCAGACCCAGGCAATAATAACTGCTCCCAGTAAAGGTGAAAAAATCTCCTTAATTCTTGACGAGTGAGTAGCGAGCGCATTTCGTAGTAGGCTGATCTATTATTTCATCGCCGAACATTCTTCCCGTGTCATAAATTAACGTGGCGCAGGGCGAAAACCATCCGAAGACAGACAATGAACTCAGGAAGCATAAATAGAGCCGCAGAGGCGTGAGGTCTTCGCACGGGCCGAAGGTAAAATTTGTTTATTCCGCAAATGAACAGTTATCCTGCCCCTAAATTTGCATCATTGCGCCGAGTACGTGCTGAATTTCCACCGAAAAATAACTCTTCGGGAAATGAACAATTTTCTCCGCAACGGCTCCTTGAATTTTCGCCCGATTTCCTCGAGCGGTACCGAAAAAAATAAATAAAAAAAGGATTTCTTTAATTCCGCTCCGTAAATGGTCGGCTGCATTTTGAACAGATTAAACGTACACATGAGTACATAATTAATTTGTGAAATTATTCCGCGAAGATGTGATTTCGTCCGTTCTTGGCGACGGAATTCTTTTTCTCTAAATTTGCACTCGGTGAAAAATGCGCCCGAGTAGCATCTTTATGCGGTTGTTAGTGTAAAATCCGTGTACGCAGGGGGATTTTACGGAGTAGGGGATCGCAGAGAGCATTCCACTTCAAATGGACGTATTCCTGACAAACGGAACTATGTGCATCATGACGTGAGCCCTGTTATGCATATATTCTTATGGGTCTCAGGGCTCATGTCTTAATTCACATAAATTCGTTTGGCAGAAATACGTCCAAATCATCTCCCTTGCATATTCACATCTCTTTCCTTTTTCGGTCCGCGGCAGTGCAGGTTCAAGCCGGCCGCCGATCGATAATTACTTATGCACGTATTTTTATTTTAATCCAAACAAATTTGTCTCCGACCAATGCTGCAAAATTTGGCTTTTCATCCTGATCAAAACTGTTACGTAATTCGTTTTAAAATCATCGGGAACCACCAGCAGAGTTAACTTTTCAACACACTACCCCTTCGTTTTTATTTATTTATGGTGAAAATTACTGGCAGGTAAAATTGAACGATAGCTCCGTAAGGTGATGCCGTATTCCTTTTCGACAGATAATCGATCAAATCATAACTTTCAACTTTGAAGAGATTTTTTCAATATCACTCGAAAGTCTAATTATACTGAAGTACGTCAGGTAGCTACATTCAAAATGACAGGGAAAAACTTTGTATTGAATCCGAAAGTATGTTCTTTGTAGGTGAATATGACAAAAATTTTGTCCGATATAAATATTTTGTGCGATTTTTCCTTGGGACATACCTACTTCGGGGTGTTACTTCGAAGTACACCTCGATCAAAGTTTGTATATAAATACCTGAACGGTAACTTGAGAAAATGTCTTAAAATCCAGAAATGCTCACCTAATCGATCAGCTGCCGAATCGTTATCGAAAGTGGTATACAGGGTGTTCTTGAGTTATTTCGTCAAACTGCAAAAGGTATTTAATGGGTCAAAATAAGACTTGTATCCTCCATAAAGTTTTCTCCAAACGCGCTTCCAGTCGCTACTACGGTCCCTCTCAAAATTGTTGAAAATTGTTCTGTTTTTCTGAATTTTGGCGTTGGTTATGAACCAAACCTCGTGAAAAATGATTGCTTTCATGCATTAGAGCGCTAAATTCGTCCTGAGCCTCGAAGCTATAGAAATTATTAGATAAAGGGGGTTTAAGGAGGGTTTTCGGAATAAAAAGCTTGGTCCCCTTTTGGGCCCCCTCAAATCTCATTTTGAAATCGAGATTTCGTTTATTTTGAGACCACGGATAAAGTCAGCGCTAAATATATGAGGGGTAGATCTTTTTCATGAGCTTTGGTCCATTTCGTTGACTTAAAAAAAAAGGATTTACTAAAAATTTGGGAGGCTATGGTTGCAACTAAGGGGTTTTTCGGTAAAAAAAATTACAGAAACAGACTATTATTTTCACCGGTAGAGTGCGTTTCTAAAGCGTGCGGCGGTTCTACACTGTATAGAGCCATCTTAAATGTGAAGTATAAGAAGGACAACTGGCAACATGTTGGAAGAGGAAGGAGGAGCAAATGAAATGACCGCCCCGCGTAATTTTACGCAAATGAATTTGTAGAACTGGAATGCCCCCCGGCTAAATGAGACGGGGGGATTAATCCCTATTTCGGCGCGAAATGGTCCGGCCGATTTGCAACGCGGCATATGGTAAGTTGTCGGCCGGGTGAATGTCACATTAGCAACACAGTTTGACGGAGTCGTGATTAACGGTCGCCCCTGTCGTCGTAGCAACTCTCCAGTGACGGTGCGTACTTGCCCATTAATCGATAGATCTGCCATTTAAACTCATGAAAAAAATCGATATTAGGGTGCTCGCAACCGACACCTGGATAATCGATTCTTTAACGTAAGTCTGAATGCGACTACATTTTGCAATTAGGAGCCACGCTCCCTGGCTCGGTCTAGAAACCACTTGTTTCCCTATGCTGCCGTGGTAAGAAAGAACGCCGTATGAGCCTTCAGACGTTGCCAAATTTTCTTCAAAAACCGAATTTACAGGGAAAATTGTGAATATTTCCCCCCAAAATTTTCAGGAAATTTTGTACGCAATCTAATACATCTGAAAATTTCAAGGAAAAATATGTATAAATGTTGTCTAAAATACATGTTTTATCAAGGGAAATTTGGCAACTCTCGACTGTTCATACGGCGTTTTTCCTTAGCACGATAGTGTCCACACATGAGTTTTTACGGATGAGCCAGGAATTGTAGTTCCCTACTACAAAATGAAGTCCAAATGGAAAAATACCATCAGTCGATAATTCACTCCTCGCCACCAGTCGAAACACAGATCGACGGACAAACTGCGAAACCACGTATCTCCATTACATTGTTTCAAAATTTCCGCTTCTATTTTATTTTTTCGCAGATATCGAGGCCGCCTTTATTACTTGAAATTTATACAGAATATTCTGCTAACAGAGAGGAAAAATCAGGGAAGTTTTCAAGAAAATTACGTTCATTATTTTTCCGAAGAAAAAATTAAGTATGACAGGAAGTCTGCAAACGGAGCGGAGATACGTGGTTCCGCACTCTGGTCATCGAGATGGGACACAA